TCGTTTGGATAGCACCAGTGCTTCTTCCTCAGAAACTCGAGCTTTTTCTGCCATTAAATGCGCATTTTCCTCGGTTTTCTTTAGCGCTTCCTAAAAACAACATAAATTTATTACAAATAATGTAAAAAAAAACAATGATTCTATGCTTAAAAGAGTTCCAGAGCATCACAAACATTAATTTAATAAAGAACAATCTATGCATCATAAAACATAGCCCTCTTTTCAGTGGCATCTCTGTCAAAATTCATGGGCCTCGTCTTGAAATTACCAAAAAAAAAAAAAACACTGCCCGCGTAACTTTTCTATCGAGTTCATTTTTTTTCCAAGTTACTTACATGTTCGTTTCAGGACCAGGCCCATCCACTTTTAAACGTCACTACTCACTTTTCTCCGACTAATTTTTGAACTCCTTCCTGGCTGCGTCTGTCTGGTCAAATTTCACGTCCTGCTGACTAAATTTTGTGGTCACCGGTTCGCTAATTTCACATTTTTTCTTAATTCAACAAAAAAGCATCGATTGGAAATGTCACTACTTTTACTCTTTGCGGTTTCGCCTTGAATTTTACTGAAAATTCATTGTCTTTGTTAAAAATAATCTGTGAAAACCTTCATAGTGAGGAGCTGTTTGTTGATTGCGGCTATTTCAGTTTTATATTGGTCGCGTTCGGCTTCCGCTTGGATACGCTGCTCGCGTTCACGTGCTAAACGATTCTGCTCGTGCTAAAAATACAAGAAATATGCACTGCTTTTGAGTATGCGCTTAATTTACAAGTAATACTTAAGTTCTTCAGTTGCAGTCTCAAAACATATCGAAGATCCAACAGCGTAATGCCTTCTGAAGAAAGTTAATGTCAACCTAAACAACATGTAATCATACAACAGTTCATAAGGAATACAGGCAGCCCCAGGACAAAAACACCAGAAGCGGTACCAGTGAACAGGAAGGTATATGAACCAGTGAACAGGAAAGTATAACAAGATGAAATAGGAAGAATCAAAAAGGAAATTAAAGAATGGGAATTAGAAAATTTATAAAATTAGTAAAATTATTACAATGTTAGAAAATGTTTCTGTCCATTAAGTCGTATACATTTTTCATTATTACTACAATTTCTTACCATTATCATAAGTCTTTTTTGAGTATTTCGCTTCAACTTTTACAGCGGCAGATTATTCCCTCC